AATCGTGATTTGAACGAAGACAAGGCCCCATGAGGGGCGATATCGAGTACTTCCACCCTTTTGACCCCATATCCAAAAGACCACAAAGGACAACTCGTCTGCGGTGCGCAATGTCACACGCCACGCCCACCAGCGTGGTATGTTACGATTGTCTTGTCACATAGCCATTCTCGCTCATTAAATGTCACGAGGAAAACAAGTGAAGGAATTGGTCTAATATACTGTCTATAAAACCATTCTTGAATTTCGGCGATGTTCGAAATCACCACCAAGACAACGAACGAGTTTTACTACACGCATTGAGCTGCCGATCTCATAATGACATACTGAAAGGTAGGTTCTCAAGCAGACCCAGGCCCGGCCGTCTTCCCAACTGATTTTTACAATTTTCTTCCCTTGTGGGATCGGTTTACTTTTCCTGTAAATCAGCAGTGCTTCATAAGGTTGAATGCTCCCGACAGCCAAGGCATCTCGCACGCTAGGGATCTTCAGCAGTGGAGCTTGCATTTGCTTCTAGCAATTGTTTCTGGCTGCATTCAGCTTCTCTCTGTTTTCCTGTTTCAACTGCGCTGTACATATATAGTCGACGGCGTCGCTGTTGATCTGACATGAGCGCGTCAGCCAGGGCGGAATTACCAACAAATCCACACTCATTGAGGAGTATAATGATTATTCACAGAGTAGGGAGACTTATGCTTAATGACTGTGGAAAATGTGAGGAATTCCTGAAAAAAGCTTCGCCAAAGTTGTAGGAGGCTATAAAAATTCAGGAAGAGAGTGAGTAAGTATTGCTTGATGAGAGAGGCGTCGATACGACGAGGATGCGAGGCTTCGCAGGAAAAGGGGGGGCGGGGAGCTATGTGCAAGTATGGAAAAATCAAAGGCAACAGCTGTATACGAGCCCTGCTCCACTCGCACAGAAGTTCCCACGCGTGCGTTTCCTCTCTCTAATGTTCTAAGATTTTTGGCGCCTTAGTGTTGCGTGAGGAGAGGGGCAGTATATCCGATTGCAGAACAGTCAGCTGTTGCGCCTGAGGTAAGGTATCGCCTCCAACGATTCAACAGCACGTCCACGTCTGCGCCTCTCCGCGAGACATGACATGACTGCCCAAAAGGGCTCGGTCAAAGTCAGAACAACGCTGCGTGGGCCAAGCCAGTGACGTACTCGTAGTCGCGTCAGAACAATGCCAATGACTCAACCCGCAGGATGGTCCCGACATATGCCGTCATGAAATGCACACTCTTTGACAGGCATTGGTTTGGTTGAAATCAACAATGACCCATTATCACTATTGGTGCGATGAGGAAGAGGAGCGGTTAGTCTCATTTTTGGAAGGCAGCACCCCACAATACTCGCAAATGGAAGGAAGCGACGACTCGGCAAAGAAAGCGGTGCGTTTTGTACGTATATGTGGAAGATAGCGGGGACATTGGGGTGGAAGAGGGCAAGGGATGGCATGCCCCTTCAACGCAATAGATCAGGAAAGCGACAGCCCTACGTGCGCTCGCCACCTTACGTAACGCCCATTTATGTTCAAAGAGCTCCTCATGTGGTTGAAAAGGCAAGTTTTACCAAACGCCAGTTGCTGCCACTACCTGGTCCACCCAAGCGGCTGCGAAACACTGAACGATGGTACATGGCTAACGGTATCGAATATGATGTAAAGATGGTCTTTGTCAAACACAAGTGAGCGGGTAATTAGGTTTCGAATACCAATGCTGAGTGGCAGGTATTCCCAGTAGCGAAGGAAACAGAGCCAAAACCCGTGCAAAGATTGCCAGTATATAAGGACCCCCTGCCGTATGCCGTTTGTCAAAGACAATGGAAGGGGTGCTGGAGCAGTTTTCACATGTTGGCACAACAATGTTACGAACTCCTTTCCCTTATCACCTCACCCTCACCATTCGGAATGGAAAGAGTTACTAGTGGAACAGCCGCACCGTCAGGCATCTGCTAAAAATGAACATAGGGCCTAGCTCCAGCCCGAGCACCTCACGGGCGTCCGGGTATGTGACAAGAGAATCGTAATTCACCGCGCTGGTGGGCGATGTCGCGCCTGCAAATGACACGCAATTACCACGACGTAAGAACACGCCGCTCCCATGGCCGCGCGCGGCGGAGCGGCAAACGACGATTCACTTGAACGTCTCCCCGGGCTGGCAAGTTGCCGCTAAGCCGCGCGCGGCGTTTCCTTTAGCTGTAATAGCTTCTTGATCACTTGATGTCATATAGACTGCGATATCGAACACATTTATAGCCCTTTCTGCTCATACATCGTCTACTGTCACCTTCGCCCTAGAGACATCGAAATCTGCGGGCGCGACGCTGTACGCGACGTTGAGGCAGCGTTCAGACTTCGCTTCGGTCGCGCGTTCGACGCGATCGATGAGCATGTTTTTGACTCATCGATCGCGTCGAACTCGCGACGGAGGCGCTACCTTCGCGAAGTCTGAACGCCACTTAACCAGCGGACTACGCTTTTTTTGTCACATACCCCGCCCTGAGACTGCGGAGCTGACCATAGCCTACCTGGGACCACACAACCCAGATATTTGCGACATGTCTCATTGAAACCCTTTCCTATGTGTCTCCTACGGTTTCTGGGGTCGAGACAACCCGCAAATGGAGTGGATGCTTATTGGCTGCTTTCACTCCGCTCAATGGAGGGACTGGAGGGTCACGTGTCCCCTTCAACATTTTATCATGATCCTGCAATGAAAAGATCAAAGGCGGGTTATTGTGAGATGTGTCTGTGATTCCCCTCTTTGATCCACCTGCTTTTTTTCTGCTGTTTGCTGTTATGTGCGCTCACATTTGCAGAATTGAAGAATTATGCAGAACTTTCAGCAGAATCAACAAGGTGAGGAGAAGACTCAGTATTTGCAGCACAATCAACAAAATGAGGAGAAGACTCAGTAAGTCTACTCTTCTTATGTCCCTATTTCAAGTGTGACTGCTCTCCAGAATGACATTACCTCATTTAGGATGCCACAGAGCGACGGCCAGCAGGTGGATGTTTCTGTTTTATTTACTCTTTGGCTAATCCCTGCTCTTCATAAGACACTTACTTGGATACTTGGGCGCTCGTTTTCAGCCGGTTCTCTTCAGCGACGAGCACACGCTTCCCTCCATTGTTTGCGATCTTGAGCGGTTTGGACCCAGTGTTGGTCTGCAGCTTCTTGGAGTTGCTTCAAGGAGTCTCTCCAACGGGTTGCAGGGCGGCCAGCCTTGCGCTTCGCGTCTCTCGGATACCAGAGTGTGATGCGAGTGGTCCACCGATCGTCCGTACGTCTGACCACATGTCCGGCCCATCTCTTCTTTGCATTCCACGCGTATACTACGGCATCGTGGATGCCTGACATTGAGCGCATGTCTGCTGCGCAGATTGCGACATCTCTGCTCACGGCGGTTGATATTCAGCAGGGTCCGTTCCAATGCTCGTTGGGCACGTGTCAACATCAGCGTGGACGCCTTGTTCTCTGCCCACGTCTCGGATGCGTAACAAAGTGCAGGCAGTACTGTAGAGTCGAATAGAGCAGCTCGTATTTTCCTGTCCGAAATGAGCTGGGCCGCCTCTCTTATGCGTCCCATTGCCGTCCATGCGCATTTTTTGCGTCTCATAATTTCTTCGCGCAAATTGTTGTCCATGGAAATGAGTCGACCAAGGTAAACGTAACGGTCGGTATCCGGTAGAGCAGTGCCTTCGAGTATGATGGGTGACGCATCTGCCCACTCGTTGCGCATGACCTCGGTCTTGCTCCGGTTCATCGTGAGGCCAATAGCTTTGCCGACGTTGTTCAGTTCCTCCACCATCCGCTGTAGCTCTGCTGAGTTTTGACTGATAAGGACAATGTCGTCTGCGAATCGTAGGTTAGATAGCTTCTTTCCGTCGACGTTGATGCCTTTATCGTCCCAGTCGAGTTGCAGCATCGCGTGGTTGAGTGCGGTGGTGAACAGCTTGGGAGAGATCGTATCGCCTTGTCTGACTCCTTTTTCGATAGGGATTCCTCTTTGAAAAATGCGGATGGTGGTAGATGTGTCCATGGTGCATTTTTCCAGCAGGTTTATGTAGCACGGGTCGACACCAGCATGGTGCAGCGCATTCCAAATAGAGTTCAGTTCCACACTGTCGAATGCTTTCGTATAGTCGATGAAGCAGAGGAGGAGCGGCTGCTTGTATTCCTTGGTTCGCTCAATCAACTGCGTGACAGTATGGATGTGGTCCATGCAACAGAAGCCCTTGCGAAACCCGGCCTGTTCCACTGGTTGATAGTCATCCAGTTGTTTCTCGAGCCTGTTGAGGATTACCTTCGTGAACAACTTGTATGGCTGCGAGAGGAGGGCGATGGGGCGGTAGTTCTTCATTAGGTCGCGCTCGCCCTTCTTGAACAGAAGAACCGTGCTTGACGTCTTCCACTGGTCCGGGATCTCTTGCGCGTCCATGTACCTGTTATAGCGCCTGGTGAGCTGTTTTATGACGGTGCGGGACGCCGACTTCAGAAAGTCTACTGAGATGCGGTCAGGTCCTGGTGCCTTCCCCGGCTTCATTTGACGCAAGGCGTGTTCCACCTCCCACTCTTCTATCTGTGGGGCGCGTCCTGCGTAGGTGTAGGTATGCGTGAAACCGGCATCGTTGATCGGTAGAGATCCGTGTAGAAATTGACGGCGATCTCTTCAATCCTCGCTCTCGATGTCTGCGGTCTGCCCATCGCGTCTCGCATAACCGTGGTGACCGAGCGAGAGTCGTTGATGTCTCGACGACATCGTTTGAGACTCGCTCTCGCTTCCTTCAGTCGAGTATTCTTGTAACGCTGAATCGACTCCTTCACTGCGATGCGGCACGCTTTGTTGATCACGGCGCGCTCCAATGGTGTTGATGCAGGGTTACGATGGACGACAGCGCGTTGCTGCAGAAGTGCGCGAGCCTTGTCGTCAATCCTGCCTTTCGAATCCGTCCTTGTTGTGATAGCCGATGCCATAGCGCAATGTAGAAGTCCTTCTATGAGCATGGTATAGTCTTGCGACAAGTCTTGCGCCTCCTGCCACGTGTAGTGAGCGGCGGCCGCCTCCATGACGTTTGTGTCGTAATGTGGCAGCCGTATGGGAGGAGGTCGGAAGAAGTCGCGTCTTCGGATTCTCGCTCGGAGACGAATTTTTGCTCTGACCAGCCTATGGTCGCTCCCAGTGCGGAATGCATCCACCACGCTGACGTCGAGCAGACTCCACTTCCTGTTAGTGAGAACGTGGTCGATTTCGCTGTGAGTCGTTGGCATTCGGACTCTCCCACGTCCATCGCCGATCCTCTTTTTTCGTGAAGAAGCTGTTTCCGTGAAAGAGATTGCATTGCTCTAAGAGGTCCATCAAACGTTCGCCGTTCTCGTTTGTTTCTCCGGTTTGGCCCAATGCGCGCTGTCGCTGGCATTTCCTCATGGATGACTGCGTTAAAGTCTCCGACAACATATTTGTAGTAGGACCGTTCCCTTTTTATCATCTCCTCCAATTCCTTGTAGAACGCGTCCTTTTCTTCGTCCGCAGCTGCTGAAGTCGGTGCATAGCAGTTGCTAATACTAACGGAAGTGCGCTTGTCGATGCGTAGACGTCGGATGGCCAGTCGTGGGCCGATCACTTCGACTGAATCGACCATGTGCTCGAGGGCGTAGGTGGACCGAAGGATTCGCAACCTACCAACATTTCTTCCGCTCAGTTTGGCTTCGAAAACAATTAGGTGGCCATCGTTGGTCTTCCTGGTAGCTGTTTTTTTTGCTTTTGTTTCCTGGAGAGCGACGACATTGAGAGGAAGTCTTTTGCTGGCCTCCTCTAAAATGGTTTGGTCGGTTATCGAGGCAAAATATGTTGGTACGTGGTCGTAGAACAGTCCCCATGTTTTGAAAGCCTTTCGTCCTGTGCACTCCAAATCCTGTGCCGGTTTTTGTCTGCAGGTCCCTCCAGTTCGCCATTTGCTACAGTGCACGTAGAGCTCGTAGCATGCACACAGAGCTTCCTTCTGCGCCGCTCCGGACCCTCTGTGTGGTGCTGTAGCTTGTTTGTTTACCGATCCTCGGGCAGCTAACCCTTTGAGTGAGGTGGTACCCCCACTGTTGACCGGGATACGCTTTGGTAGTGCTTTTTTGAACATGCTGAAAAAGAGGTGCATGATAATGAGAGGGGGGATAACGGTAAAGGAGGAGCAATGGTGTGTAGCAGAATACTTGTCTGGGCATTACGCCTCACCCTTGCGAGCTGCGCGAGGGCTCGCCTAGTAGAACCTGCCCTGTCCAGGGGAACAGTGGACTCCCGAAGACCGCGATATCATACATTGCGATCAAGACATTGCTGCAGAAGGCCGAGGAAATCAAAACGCAATGCCAGCAATACGCTCGACAACCATCAGTCGCTTTTCGCGACGTCGCTGCCATGTCCGCACGCTTCCACCGTGTGATTATATTGCCGCGTCCTCGTAGTAGTTCTACTCCGCTCGCACGACCAATGTCATCTATGCTCTTGCAGTGGGGATAGGGGGGTGGGGAGGAAGGGAGGGGGGGGGGAAGGAGTCGTGTCATGAGACGTATCATGATGATCCTCCTTGCCGTTGACTTACAACGATATGATATCTGTAGCATTGTCATTTTGAAGATGACTTGGTGCCATTAACGTGGCACAAGCGGGAGTGTCCGCACATTCACGCTCGTGATTCTGCAGTCTAATCGCTGTGGGTGCTGGAGGCGTGCGGGGAAGTCCCAGCACCCACAAGCGCGGCACCAACAATCTTTCCGCCAAGTGTTGTGCCGGCTAAACGGTGATGGAAACGGGTTGGCACAGAGCCAAACCCAATCAACTCTCACGCCTCAGCAGCAGGACCGTACCTGTCGCGGTTGTTCGCCAAAATCGACTCATCTTATAGTTTTGCGGAAGGAGTGCATTCAGCGCACACCTGCAACCACGCGCGCCACATCTAAGCACCGATGCAACTCAGAACTTGTAACTCACTCGAACTTACTACTACTAACTCTTTGCTCTCTGTTTATGGTAAGGGAGAGGCTTTCCCTATGAATCATTGGAAACATTTTCAGTGCACTACACAAGCAGACGTGGAAAAAACACAGTAAGTAACAAAAGAAAGACTTAGTTTCCGAAAAATTGGTCTAAGAAGGTGTTCGTTTGCAGGATTCAGAATGTTGTCGCGCAGGCATGTGTTTTTTCCACGTCTGCTTGTGTAGTGCACTGAAAATGTT